GTTAAAATAATATTTTTGGTTTAGGAAGGATGTAACATACGATACTTTTTTATATACTTGGCGTAATCTTTTTCTTTTTTTAAAAAAGAGTTTTGGTAGGTTATATTTACCAGAGTTGAAAAATAACGCATTACTTTACCGGTAACGCCATTATCGGTTTTATTACTTTTTTTCAGTAACAATCGTTACTTTTTTCTGTAATAACAATGGTAACAGTAGGACGTCGTTTTATAGTAATTTTCTTTCTTTTTTCTATCTAAAAAAGTGCATGTAAAGTCGATAACTTGCATTTCTCGAAATTATTTGTTATCGCTTTTCCGCGATGTTGATTGTCTCGCTGTGCTTACTTCGTGTAAACGGCTATGTCACAAAAAAATTGACGAAAATAATCATTGGTACCATCTCAAAATACCTTATTCTTTTAAATGAAGAAAATGCTTTTTCCTACCCCGATTAATTAGCGAGATATTACAATTTCAAGTAATCTCTGTTTTTTTTACAATTTTAGCACGATACCGTTGCTATTTGCGTAACCCGATGTGCACCATGGAGAGATTGCTCGGTCAGATTTTGCACGTGATCGTGTGTGCGTGTGTATGCGTGTGCGTGTGTGTGTAATTATGTTTTGCTAAAATGTATTAAAAAATACATTAATGTATTATAAAAATAATTATTTTTGCAATTTTACTTCTCAAAACTACACTATAATAGAGCAAGAGCAATAAATAAGATCGTATTCACTTTAAAAAAACGACAATATCTTTATTCTTGCTTTTTTTGTTAGACAGTATTATACATGCCACTAACCTTCCATAATCCGCCGTTGTCTGGTAATAATCTCATCGGAAATTTGTCGCTGCCGATCATAACGGAGTAACAATAACTCGTGACGTCTGAGTTCGTGTTGTTTGACCAGTCTTTCACTCTGCAACATCATCTTATCTGCCTCGAGCTCGTGAACTCGTAACATTAACGCCAATAATTCGCGTTCCTCATCCGAATTGATACGTGAGGGTAGTTGCTAGAGAAATAATGCTTTTGAAATATAAATTTTTTTCTAAACGTATTCAATTAAAATTTCATTTCATTAATCGTTAGTTCTACTAGCTATATTAGTATACTATGATAAGAATCCATACTTTTTTTAGTTCTTTTAATTTATTTTTATTTATATATATGATTAAAATGATAAAAATTGTAAAGTCTCACATCCTCAAGCGTAGCACTACACTTTCGACAGGCCTCAAGTTCTTTTTCCGCAGCAGCGCGTATTTCGGCATATCTCTCTTGCTCTCTTGTGATCTCCATTAATTCGGTCCATGCTTGTTGCACGATTACATCATCCTCCAGATCATCCGCTAAGAGATCTAAGCAGTTATTATATCAGTTTTTTGCTGCAATCAATAATTCTGTAGGGGAGAGAGATAGAGATTTTCAAAGCTCCCGGTATTTGCAAATAAACTATATACGAATCCACGGATTCGCTGGAGACGTCGAAATTAACCAAACGGTAGAATAGAGGAAGGATGAAATATCGGTGCTTATGAGAGATGACAAAAAATGAGTTGATCGTTTAAGAGTTTATTCGAGACACACACAGAGTGAACTGAGATTGAGATGGAACCGAGATCGAGACACATCCGCGTTCGAGAGACAACCGAGCTTGAGGCAGAACCGAACTCAACTGGTTGACGATGTACAGAGAAAAAGAATTCGCCGTTGTAGGGGTGAAAAGGGGAGGCAATGGCGTATGTTTACTTGAGTGCGAAGCAGCTGATCGGCAGCTGATCGGCAGCGAAAAACAAAAAGGAATATCAAGATCTCGACACCAAGGTAACGAAATAAGAATCGAAAATAACATATTTTAAACGCTGAAATAATTGGCAATACAAAAATGTGAGCTATAACTAAAACGATATAAAACTTTAATGCCGAAATAAAGGATTGATTTATATACGATAATTTTCACTTTATCAAACTCCAAAC